TAAATAATGAAGAATGAAAAAATATATTTTGATATAAAAAATTAAATTTATCTAAATAATATAAATTGTAATGAAGCTTTAAGTTAATATTAAAATAAATTATGTATATTAAAATATTATAAAAATAAGCTCATATATTTTTAAGTCTGTCAGAATTTTCAATATTAAAAAATTTCGAAGATAAATATAAATGTGTATTGCGATATGTGGTCAATAAACAAGTTTTTGAAAGGAGTAGTATGAAAATTTAAAAACTACTAATTGTATGAAAATTAATTGTAAATAGCATAATATTGAAGTATCAATAAAAAGTGGCATCAGAAGTGAAAAAATTTGAAATAAAGATTCTCTATCTATCCTGACATTGACAATTAGACAAATGGTACATTCACATTATTGGATAATCATTCTATCAACATATAGTATTACGGTATTAAATAATTAAGTATTTAAAAACAAAATGACAGAAATTAATTAAATTCAATCTCATAACTTAATTTTTAGTCATAAAATAATTTATTAGTTGTATATAATAAAATTCTCTCAGACAAATGAAATTTATCTCATTTCTACAAGATTCTCACCCACAAATTCTCATTGAAGAAAATTTGAATCAAATATAAGAAAGAAGAATGCATCAAAAGAAAAATTTTATTGCATTACTATATATAAGGTTCGGATTTATAGTATCTATTTCATGACTATTAAAAATTTTCATTCCTGTATATTGTGATATAATTTTTTTATTTTAGGTGCTAATGCAATTAATGAATTATTTTTCATGAAAACATAATTATTTTTCAAATTCGTTCAGGAAGACTTGTAGGAAGATACTATTGGTAATAAGATATAATAAAAAATACATATTATATAGTAATTTATTTCTCACTTAGCGATTAAAATTATAAATAATTTGTTATTTTTGCAATAAAATAAAATGATCTCATATGATCGAACGTATCTGTTTTGCTAATTATTTTCATCTTTGCATAACTTTTTTATCCATTCCTCCTATAAAAGACAAAATGTTTGTATTATTTATTATTTGTACATTAAATGAATACATCTATGATTTTAAATATACAATGCAATTGCTTCTTTCTTCCTTATTTTGAATATTACGACATCGTAAGTTGACTAATTCCAAGCAAGCTTCCATAGAATTGGGTTCATTTGATCCAACGTCATTCTACGAGTATAATATCATATTCGATTAAATTATTTGTCACAAAAGATTTTTTAATTATTACACAGTGAAATTCATTTTCGAAAGACTAACAAAAATAAGTAAAAATTTTTACTCACTAGTAGATGAATTGTAATTATGAAAGAAAATTATGAAAACTAAATTTAATAAAAGTCATTATTTAGTTTAAAGTTCAAATTTAAAAATGTTAAATATTATAACATTATAATGATAAATTTCCAAAAATTATTACTTGAAAATTTTACATAGAAAGATAAAATTTTTACGAATTTGGTCTGCATGTCAATATGTTTATCATAAAAATTTCCTTTTCTTTTTGCATTCTAATAAAACATCCGAAATTCAAATTAATAGACACGAAAAATTAAATTTTTTAAACAAAATTATTCATGGAAACGTCGTTCCAAGTTTTTTTTAATATATTGTAGATATAAGTTTATTTTAATTAATTAGTTGTCACCCGAAAAAAAATATATATAAATACATATTTACTTATATTTAATTTAAACCATTCCAAGTAATATAGTGAATTACTTACTGATGCTGTAGTTACTGCCGCAATGAATCCAATAAGCAGACAAAAAGAGAATATTAAACGACTCATGATGAAATTGTGTTGTGTTCCGCCACTTTTCATCCTTTATATGAGATATAAATTAAATAAAAAAAATTGTACGCAATATTAGATTCAATATAATAAATGTTATTAATTATATTACTGTAATTATATTAGTTTTAGCTCAGCCGACGCATCATCATCGAAGAATATAAATAGAAAAAGATAAGTGCGAATTATATGTCCATATTCCATATCCCTTAATTACGTGTAAATCAAATTAAATTTTGTTTTTTGTTTTAATTCATATATTATACTTTCTTTAACTCTTGTTAAACACTGCTTTGAAAATAATTACGTCAATTGCCTTAAAATACACTTATATTTTTAATGTATTTGGCTTTTATCAATTAAATTAATCTTACATGAAATATAATTATGTCATTATTTTGTATTTGTATTATATGCTGATGATGAGCTGATACCAATGGTAATTATAGATATTGAAAAACAACTATAGAGCACATTGAATATCATCAGATGCAGAACTCCTTTCACGTAATTTATCATTGCGTGGAGTAAAAGGTTATTCAAGTATAACAATAAATGATGAAAGTTCTGAAATTTATTTAAAGGTTTTAATTAGGTAGAGGAGTTCTATAAAAATTTAATATTGTTTAATAATGGATCGTGACCATTATATTTTAATACAAGCATTATAAAATGTTTTAGCTAATAATAAAGCTATGTAAAGCAAATAATTGAAATTTTTTTATTTAATTTATATCTAATATAAAGGATGAAAAGTGGCGGAACCCAACACAATTTCATCATGAGTCGTTTAATAGTATTTTTTTGTCTGCTTATTGGATTCATTGCGGCAGTAACTACAGCATCAGTAAGTAATTCGATAAATTACTTGGAATGGTTTAAATTAAATATAAGTAAATATGTATTTATATATATATTTTTTCGAGTGATGATTCATTAATCAATATGAACTTATATCAACAATATATTAAAAAAAAACTTGGAACGAAGTTTCCATGAATAATTTTGTTTAAAAAATTTAATTTTTTGTGTCTATTAATTTGAATTTCGGATGTTTTATTAGAATGCAAAAAGAAAAGGAAATTTTTATGATAAACATATTGACATGCAGATCAAATTCGTAAAAATTTTATCTTTCTATATGGAATTATCAAGTAATATTAGAATTTTTGGAAATTTATCATTATAATATTATAATATTTAACATTTTTAAATTTGAACTTTAAACTAAATAATGATTATTGTTAAGTTTAATTTTCAATCATTTTCTTTCATTATAATTCTTTCCATTTATGATTTCTAATCAAACGTAAAAGCATAACATAATATATACTTTATTCTTTTACAAGTGAGTGAAATAAAAATTATTCTTTTTAAAAAATCATATTCTATTATACTATATTTATAATAATTTAAACTCGAATATTATGTCACTATATTTTAATGAAGAACATTTAAGTTTAATTTTGATAAAGTTTTATAAATCTTTAATTATTTGAATTGAATTCACGTTGAGCTTTCTTATATAAAATATATATCATAACAAATAATTATAATTTTTAATATTGATAATGGTTATAGGACTCTGATATAGAAAACCACTCCGATGACACACAAGAATGTTTTGAAAAAGTTGAGGCTCAGTGCAAAGATATTGTGTTTGCCATACTAAAACTACAATGTATTGTATGTATGGAATTGAAAATTTTTATGTTGATTCAGTCTTGCTAATCGTATGTTTTTCATTTTTAGGAAGAATGGCTAAGAAAACTTTGTCCTCCTGGAAGACAGTAAAATAAACAAATATTTTTGTAAAATACTATTTTATTAAATTAAAATATTTAAATCTTTAAATTGTAAACAAATTTAAAAATAATTGCATTATTAATGACCTTACATTACTATTTTTTAACCTTTATTTACGTTCTTTGGAAGGTATTTTAATAGGAAATATTTTTGTGAAAATACAGCTTTGTCCTATATTTCTTTGATTTCTATATGAAATTTTATTTTAACTTTGACAATAAACTTTTTATAAATGCAATCCCCGATAATGAATTTATAAAAGGTATATTTATTATTACAGATTTGAAATTAAATTTCCATAATTTTAAAATTCATAATGAACTACACGCGTTATTGCGATTATGTATTTTATTGAAGTTGAATAAAATATATTTTAGGCTAATTCAAAACCAACTAGACTCGTTATACTTTTATTATTATTTTATTTCATTATTGGCATAACGTAAATAATTTTTATTTCATTTTTATATTTAATTTAATTAAATACTATATAATACAAGTTTCATTATTAAATAAATTCCTTTAAAAGTGAAAAGCCTGCAATAATTAACATATCTTTCTAACCAACATTTTTTACATACGGATACAAAAATATTCTAGCATATTAAAACGATATAACATTTAAACGTTTTAATATGGTAATAAATTAAAATATTATGTCATAAGTATACATTTAGTACAATTTCATATCAGTAGGATAATATCATTTTAATTTCTAGCCTACTATAAATTACTATAATTCTTTGTAAATAAAATATTTTATTTGTTTTTCTATTCTCTTTTACATTTTGATCTTATTATAATTTATAATTCAATAATATAATTATTATAATTTTATCATTCTCATTAGTTGAAAATTTTTGAATTATACTATTTAATAAATAATTTTTTTATATTAAAATTCAAAATTAAAATTTTTCTTATATATCTTTAGTAAATATGAATTACTCAATGTATTTACATTGAAGTAAGTTCTGTATACCGTGAATACATAGTTTTTGTACTATAGCAATATTATAAATTCTCGTTATTCAAGTATATTTTAATTAATTCATATATGTAAATTTTAGACGATATTCGTAGATTATTCATTCGTAATCTTTTTTAATCTCATATAAGTTCTTATTAAAAATAAGCTGCGTATATATATGTAAGACTCTCACGCATTCAGGCACGCGTGTAATACATATCCACACATACACATACACGCACACGCGCGCACGCCGCACACACACACACACACACACACATACACACACACACACACACACACACACACACATATATATATATATATATATATATATATATATATATATATACATACATACAAAGCATTAGGTGATATTCTTAAAACTATTTTAAAATTATAAAATGAAATATCAAATTATTATTTATATCTGTTTTACGTTAGGCGTTGGTAAGTTAAATACACTTTTGAATAATATAACATTTTTTTTTGTTATATAAATTTGAAATAAATTTTTTATATCGCTTAATGTTTTATTATAATAAATATTTAATTATATATTCAAATATTTAATATGAATTTTCTTTATTGCTCATAATTTTTTTTCTATACTGCTAATAATAATAAAAACTTATAATAAATATTTTTTATATTTTATAATATTGGCACCTTCTAATTGATGTAAAAATAGTTCCATAATATGAATTATTTATTATATTAATAATCTATTATAGTTTATCTTTATATAATATATGAATTAAATGATATTTAGGTACTTTTTCTAAAAATTTAAGGATTATTGGTGGTTCTGATGCGGATATAAGAGAATTTCCTTTCTTTGTTTCATTAAGATATATCGAGACAAATACAATTTTTTGTGGCGGTGCTATCATTAGTGACCGACATATTTTGACAGCAGCTCATTGTTTACATCCACATTACGATAATTTTGAATCTATTCGAATTTATACAGTGGTAACTTCTGCACAAAGTACTGATGGATTATATTACACAATTGAAAAAGTTATTTATCATCCTGGTTTTTCGCCTGTTATGAATTCAATTTTCATGAACGATAATGATGTTTGTGTTATAAAGGTATATCATAAATTATTATTTAAATGTGTATTTCCGTAATAAAATCACATTAAAAGCGGATAGAGATAATATAGACAAACAATAGTATTGGTTACTCAATGTGATATGCCAAGAATTCGCAAAGTATTATATATTAATCAATATAAAACAATTACTTTAATAATTTCTTTGAATACATAAGCTTTAATAAGCTTTATTCCCTGCTTTGTACAACATTTAATAATATAAATAAATTGTAAAATTATCACATATCGATATTATATATATATATATATATATATATATATATATATAGTTATTTATTTATTATTATTAGATTTATATATTAATTCATTTTCTAGTACATATTTCTTAATATTTATTTATATCTTACATAAATACATTTTTAATTCTGTTACCTAAAATGACATTTTAACTATTTTTATCTTAAACGTATTATGGTCAGTTATATGACTTAACGTATTAACCTATTACAAAACGTAATAAAAGTAGTAATTGGTTCTCTCAGTCTGTTGCTCTTTAAGTATTTTGTCTGACTTTATCTACAACCTAAAAGTAATTCGTTTTTTGAAATTATTTAAAATTATTTTTAATAACTTTAATTTAAATTAAAAAGTTACCGATCTCTTAATCAATACTGTGAAATAAAATTCCTAATATTGAAAATTAGAATAAAAATGTAACGTTTTTAACATAGATAGGTAAAGTTCATTAGGTATTACTAAATTATTATTTTTAAATACAAATATTTTGTTTTTGCAGATTAAAGAAAATATTATATTTAGTACATATCAAAACAAAATAGATCTTCCAATTGTGAACATTGAAGATGATTTTTATGGTGTTTTAATAGGATGGGGATCAGTAACTTACGGAACTGATAATGTTCCTGAATCATTACAGAAAATCATAGTGAGGGTTATAAATAATCATAAATGTTCCATGAGACCTTCTATTCCATTTTTACTTCACTTTGGTCAACTATGTGGATTTACCACACGAGGAATGGGATCGTATAATGTAAGTAATTTTCAAAATATTACAATTCTAACAATCAATTAGATATTAATGATTAATTTCTTAAAATTGAAAACTCATTAAATATATTTAAATATTTTTGAAGCTGATAAAATTAAGGTTAAATTCAGATATTATTTATTGTTTGTATTAATTTCTATATGTATATTACCAAATATTTTTAAGAAAATATGCTTATATTTTCTATATGCTGAATGCCATACATTAAATACTTGATAAGCATAGTATGCTTAGCTTTTAATTATGTATTGATCATAAAAATTAAATTAATATTATATTTATTTATAAATAATCTATAAAATTATACAAAAAAACAAAAAATTTTTCTTATTTTCAACAAAACATTCAAATAATTTTTTTTTCATTTTAGATTTTAGCAATATAATATGATACTTATGAGACGAACATTTGAAAATTTTGAATATTTCTGAAAATTAATAATTTTAAAACCAGAACTCTTGTAATTTTTAGGGTGATAGCGGTGGCCCATTAATACATAATAGTAAAGTCATTGGAATTGTATCTTTCAGTATTCCATTTACTCAAGGATATCCTGATATATTCACTAAAGTTCATTATTATCTAAACTTCATCAGAGAAGCTATGAGAAGTTAGTGTTATTTTAATACTATTAATATACAGAAATTTCACGTTGTTTATGACCAAAATGTAAATCTTTATATAAATTTTTATATAAATCTATATCTTTATTAACATATAATTTATATTTATAATAAATTATCAATGAACTAAGATACTCTTCATTTTTCATTAATTTATTGCTTATAATAAGTTTCAATAAGTTCAATTACAGATTTAATCTAAGTTACGTAATAAAAAAATTATCAAAAAAATTTTTTTAGAATTAATTAATTTGAATAATTAATAATTTGAATGAAAACAAAAGTAAAAAACGAATTATTTCATTTGCATAAGCAATAAATATTTACAATAAATGTATTTTAAGTGATTAGTGTAAGAAGAATATTATTTCATTTTTAAAAAATACAATTGAAGGTCTTAAATCAATAATTTTAATTGAAAAACTAAAAATCAACATTGATTATTTTTTCATTTGTAAAAATAACTTTTGTAATATTTTTTGAAAGTATAAATGAAAACTTATACTTTTTCGGAATAATTTACGAACTTTTTTCTTAAATATAATAGTGAAGTGTTATAACTACAAGTGTATAACTTATTGTAGTATTGGAAAAAATTTTTTTTTAAACATTTTTGGATTTAAAGTTTTATATTTTCATAATTTTCAATTCGTTTTTCTGAAAGAAGAATTAAATTTGTTCTTCTATAATTAGTATACGAACATATAAAATGAAATACTACATCTTATGAAATGCACTTTATTTAGAGAGAAACGACATATAAAATTGTTGAAAATACTGCTAAATTCAGAGCTAATAAAAAGAAAGATTTAAATTAAGTTCAAGAAATTGAATAAAAATAAAATAATTAGAAGGGACCTTGGCAGAGATTCCTGTTTGCCTGGTACATAAAATAAAATATTTAACCAAGACTATCTTTTGGACATATCAATATTATATATTAACATAACGAACGTTTTAATTAATTGACTTATGCATATTTTAAATAAATTCAATTGCAAGGTGATTCGGACCACCATATACATAATAAAAATTTTTTCTATGTAAAGTTTTAAATTATAGTGAGTTAATCATCTGATAAGCATAAAATAAAATGGATTATCACTAATTTTTATCTTTTGCTAAGTAACGGTAACTAAGGTATATATTTTTAAAGACATAAAACTTAGATAAATATATATTCTAAATAATTACACAAATTTGTACAAACAGCTGAAGAATAAATAATTATCGCTCAAAAGATAAATAATAAATTAAATAACGTCAATACTGCAAATATAAATTATAATTTAATATTGTTGTGTATATTTGGTAAGGATTTAAAAATTATTAGATGTTCCGATGTAGACATAAAACTCTCTGTTACTCTGTATTTACTCTGTGTTAATAAGATATATGAGAAATCGTCCTTAAATAGAGGCTCAATTATTGGTAATTGGCATACTCTAACAGCAGTTCACTAGTTTTTTCCATATTAATATACATTGTCAGGATTTTTTCAGCCATATTCAATGTCCATAGTTTCTTATTACAAATATTATTTATCAACAAAAATTATGAGATGCAACGATATTATAATTATCGAAGTCTGTATTGAAATTTATATTAAAAATTAATTGTTTATATATCAATAGGATTAATAATTTAAAAACTATTTTTTACTTCTGAAACCACAAGTGTTCAAATTTGAATAGTAGCTTCGTTTAAAATATATTTTTACTTTCATTCAAGTTGACTGTATTAAAAGTATTTATTAGTAACTGTAAGAGCGATTTATAACAAAATTTTAGTAATTGTGCAATAATAATTATAGTGTGAAATAATATAAAATAAAATATGATACACGTAATTGGATGAATTTCTAGGTGATGATTATAATATAAAAATAATTAAATATTGTCGCTTTCATTGATTATTAGTCTGAGATTTTACATATATAATTAAAAGAATGAAATTAAAAAAAACACAGTATACAAAATTATTATATTTAGTCCATGTATAAATAAAATAAATGTGCCGCTGAAGAAATTATTATTGATACTACAGGTAAGTGGATGGGGTACAATAATTCCCCTCAACAATAATGCTCTCAACAAAAGTTGCAGAAATTCCAAATGACAACACACGAGGGTAACAATTGTTGCACTATTAATGTGCAATTTCGTTTATTAAATAAAATGAAGATTTTATTTAATATTTCCATATTTTTTAAACAGTTGTATATCATTTAATGAAAAAAGTAAAAATAATTTTTATTTCTTCTGAAATGCCATCTATATTTATAGAATGATTAAGTATTTCAAATTAAAATTAAAAAACTTTATATTTCGTTGTTACATTATATTATAAAAATATAAAAATATCATTATATATTGTATGGAAATTTTATTATATGGAATTTTTGAAATAATTATAATGAATTTATATTTCTAGTTGATGTCAATAAACACGATATCAAGTAAAGGTTTTATAATATAATAATAAAGTGCTTAATTAGGTAATATATGCGGGATAAAAATATAAAATTATTTTGCTTAATAATAGAATTATATAATTTATATAAAATTGTGAATTCAAAATTGAAATTGAGATCTAATTTTTTTAAAGGAATTTATAAATGATGTGCACACAAAAACAAATATGATAATAAATATTATCGTTCATAAAAAAAATCCATTATGTTTAGGGTGATAATCATGGTAATTTTGTTTTTTTCATTTTCTTTTAATATTTCATGTGATGCAAGGGAACACCATATTTAGAAAAAATTTTTATTATATTAATATATTACAATTTATATATCAATATATATATTTATTAATTGTATAAATATATATATATATATATATATATATATAATTTCAAATATTTTCATATATATAATAACCATGAAAAATGCATACATAATTTTTCTATAAATTAATTTTGTGTTGTTCTTTTAATATAAAATTATGTATCTTTTTTTATTCTAGTAAAAATAGAATAGTTTAGACAACATCAAAACTCTACTTTAATTTCTTCCTATATATGGCTAAATGAATTTTAATTCCAAATAAAAAATTAATTATATTATTAGAAACAAAGAGACGAATAGTTGTATTTCTTGAATAAAATATCCATAGCACTGTAGAAACTACGAAGTATCGCTTCAACATTTTTAAGCATTTGAACTACATCTTCATTTGATTAGTTCAAACAATTATAATTAATTACATTTCATTGAAATAAAAATTACAATATTTGATACTGATATAGAACGATCAGTACTGATGTAGAAAATTTTAATCTGTAGAAATAACGACGTAAATGACAATACAACATTTTAATTGAAATTATTAAATTTGAATGATTTAATAAAACTCATTGTTTAACTAATTTTTGAGTTTTAGCAAGAATATTTAACTCATTTTATTGTTTCCGTCAATATTTCGTAACGACGTAGCAAACAGTAAAATATAACAACTTTAATCAAGCACAATACATAACGTACTAAGTAAGTACATTAAGAATTTAGCTCTAATTAGGTGTAAATCAATAATTAATTATTAAATTAACGATTAAATATTAAATGTAAAACAAGAAATAAAAATAATTATATACTTATAATTTTCTTTGATTAAATTCCAATTAACCAAGAAAGCAGGTTAGAACCTTTGATCCCGTAATAATAGAAAATTATTTTTATGCTAAAATTATTGTAATATACTGGATTTAATCGGTACTTAAAAATTAAATATTCATATATTCAAATATTCTAAGAAAAAGCTTTGACAAAACCAATAATTCAATGTAGATAATTTGTTTGCATATACTAATCAATAATAGTAAATATGATATTTAAATCATTAAATATTAATAATATACATTTATTTGTATATTAAATATTAGTAATCGAAATATCATTCTATATATATCAATCTTATTAATACTATATCCAATTGAGAAATTTTATAAGTTTTTAGAATAATAATCTACTTTTGAAATGGATACTGGGGAGTTTATAATTAGGAAACATGTTTTTTTTTCTAATAAGATATATTTTATATATAATACATTTGTGATACTTTAATTAATAATCCATTAAGATAAAATAATATCAAAAATATTCAAAAGTTATAATTTTTATTATTTTATTAAGTAAATTGAAACAGATTATTTAAATTTTTTAATAATATTTACCTATTTAATTTTTGAAGATGTCATCCACTTTATGATACCTTATTTTTTTAATTTTCTTTATTGCACAAAATATTAATAAAATTGAATAATGTTCATCGCTAAAAGATTAAATTTATTTGTAATGGGAATATAAGGGTAGTTTTTAGAAATTTTGTTTAATTATATAAAATACTTTCATAATTTCATTGTAATACTATAATTCTTTATTCTTCTTATAAATTTCTTAAATACTTTTTAATATATTTTTATATTGTTATACTAAAATTAATATTATAACGTCGTAATTATATTTTGTATTCATTAACGAGTTTATATTTTTATAGTACATTTTTTATCAAACCATTACTTAAATTCAAAATCCAACTTCATTGATACAAGTAGTTCTTAATATATAAATTTCTTTTTAATTAATCCATTTTAATTAAAATTTTTTATTTAAGTAAATATGCCATTGTTATATATTTGAAATATGACGATAATGATTAATTAAAAAACGTAAATTTGTAACGATATTCATATTAAATATTCATTTTTGATATCGTTTTGTTCTTAGATAAAAACAACCTATTTCTATATATAGTATTAGACACTTCAATAGGTAACAGAATAATGATTATTTCAATAAAATGAAGTTAACTGTATGAAAGATATTTCTTCATTTGACAATAAAGATCATTATTAATTTCTCAAGTAATAATAATTATTAAAGTTAATATGAAATCTCTAAAAAAATTTATATATTATAGTTCCTTTGTATATTCAAATGTTTTAATTCATTTATTTCTGCAATTTGAGTAAAATCCTACGAATATTATATTTAGTAAGAAATCCAAGAAATTAAATACATCTATATTAAGCAATATTGCAATTTATAAGATTACTGGAATAATTAAAATGAAATATAACATTATTTTTTATTTCTCTCTTCTGTTGTATAACGGTAAGTTGAATATATATTTTTAAAATAACAATAAATTGTTACTTAAAATCAATTTTTACTAACATTGTCTGTATAAATTATGCTTTAATTATATTAAGGAACGTTTGGAAAAAATTTAAGAATTATTGGTGGATCCAATGCAGATGCAAGAGAATTTGCATATTCTGTATCATTTAAAGATTTTGACGAAAATCTCATTGTGATACCAACACATATATGTGGTGGGGCGATTGTTAGTAATCGACATATCCTCACATCAGCTCATTGTTTGTATTCATATGAAGATAAATATAATATGATACAGATCTATACAACAATGGCAGATTCTTATAGCAATAGTGAACCTTATTATCGGATTGAAAATATTATTTACCATCCTGATTTTATTAAATTTATGACTTCGATATACCTTAAAGAAAGTGATATTTGTGTTGTTAAGGTATGTATAATAATATTCATTAAATGTATATTTGTTTAATAAAATTTTTGGTAATTATATATAACAATATTTTATATAAAAAACCACAAATGACAAATATTTTGAAATATTCTATTTTCTTCAAACATTATTGAAAATAAAATTTAAATCATATTGTTTACATTGAGTAAAAATGTAATTTCATTTAAATGCAAGTCAAAATAATATTATTATTATTGAATATGACAATTTTTTCGAATATTAATGTTACAATTTATATAGCTATCGGCTGAATTTTTATAAATGATTATAATGTCGAGTGAGTTATAGGTTTTATTGATTGAATATTTAACTATAGTGGAATTCAAGGTTACACAAATAAATTAATATTTGTTCAGCTTCTTCCCGATATTTATATACTACAAGTTCACTCCGATTAGCTGGTACACGTAAAGATTATTTACTTACAAAAAAATATCTTTATTAGAATATAATGATCATGACCTGTGAACTTAATGAACCCCTTTAAATATATATATATATATATATACATATATATATATACGTATATATATATGTGTTTATTTATATAAATTATGTATAGTGTAATTGTATTTTAATAAATTGAATTGTTTATAGTTAATCTATATTAGAATATAGTGTTTATATAAGAATTTTAGTACATTGTTCACGGTAATTACATTATTTTTACTGGCTTACTAATATTTTTTATAATAATTGTTTAATTAAAAGTTAAAAATAGATCTTATATTAAAGTGTTTGTTCTTTAAATAATAAAAATTGATATTTTAATGTAATAGATAATATATTTTAAATTTCACGTAAACTTATTAGTATTACATTTTTTATATATTTAAATTTGGTATGGGTCAATTATATTTTATATTAAAAAAATTATTTTAAACGAAGCACATTAGATTTATTACATTGCTATGCATGGATGCTTTTACATGGTTGTGTGAGAAATTGAGCAAGGAGAGAGAGAGAGAGAGAGAGAGAGAGAGAGAGAGAGAGAGAGTGAATTAGTTTTTCTGTCTAGTATTCTTAAATATGAACTTTTTATTTTTACAGGTTATTGAAACTATGATATTTAGTTCATATTTAAATAAAATTGATCTTCCATCAACAGATATTACTGAAGGTTCTATAGGTGTTATAACTGGATGGGGAACAACAAAATTTTCGGCTGAATTTTACCCTGAACAGTTACAAACAATCACAATGACAGTTTATGATGGTTGGCACTGTGTTTTTGATTCTCCACTTTTTCTTGATTATGGTCAATTCTGTGCCGTCAATCAACGAGGAGTAGGTCTATGTTATGTAAGATCGCAAAAAATTTGAAGTATTATTTAAAATTGTTTTTAATGAAAAATTATAGTTGAAAAATCTTATACACATTTCTTGATTTTTATTATCGATCATTTATGACAGGAGTGCTAAGTTTTATAATCCGATTAAATTTTTCATTTTATGCTAACGATAATATATGTATTACATGAATATTAATTTATATTTGATTTATTAATTACTTAGGTAGAATTTTATGCAGCAATATATATTCAAATGGAATTTTTGAAAAAATGTATACATTAAATTTGAATTAGATATTTGTATTTTACCCGATTTATAAACCAAATTTAATTAAGAAATTCATTACTCAAAGTAAACCATATCAAGAAATAAATGTTTTCTTTCGTTTTTAGGGTGATAGTGGCAATCCTTTCGTTTACAATAATACACTTGCTGGAATCGCATCTCTTATTCTTCCATGCGCTACAGGGGAACCAGATGTATTTACAAGAGTATATTACCACATGGATTTTATTAAAGAAGCCATGAAAACTTAAAGCTACCTTATGCAACTTGGAGTATAATAAATGTATTTAAAAAAATGTTAAAATATTAAAAATATCGATAATTAAAATAATTTTCATGTTTTGTGTCTTAAGATAAAGATAAGATATCACTGATAAATAAATATTTAATTTGAATTTGTTTTATACTTATAAACTTCATGTAATTTTATAATTAATTTTATTGGCGAAAGTTGTAAAATTATATCAATAATTTTTGTTCTCATTTATTTCATTTCCAAATGCCAAAAAAATGAGGGAACATGATTTGGAACAGTTTTTATAATAACATAAATTTTATATCTTTATAGTATGATTTATTTTTTATTGTTTTATTTTTATTGTTATAGAAATTCAAATATATTATTGAAATTAGAGAAAAAATTGATATAGAAATGATACTCTTATAAAGATCATCTACATGTAAATTTCTCATTCTATTTTATTTTTGATAAAAAATAAAGTTACTATTTTTTGTTGTTTTGTTCTAAAATATAAAGTATGATTTAAAGCTATTTTAATCTTTAAGTACCATGAATTCTTATTTAATTTCTATATTACAGACGATATATACAATACTTAAGCAAGACTTATTTTATACATATCTTAAATTAACATAATAATATTATTAATAAATGTTCATTTTCATAGAAATTTTTATACAAGAGATTCATATCCAATTCAATCTTAAAAAAATTTATTTAAATAGATATTTTTTGGTAATAAACTTTTCTTCGTTTATAGGTAGTTTTCTTCGTTTACAGAGATAGTTAATTACACAATTGCTGGAATTGTATCTTTCAATATTCGATGCATACTTCCATGCATTAATATGATATACTTAATATTAAATACTTAATACATTTATTAGTATATATTGCTAGTTCGATATTATTATTGAAGTATTAGTAAGTTAATATTATACCCGTAAATATACAATAGCTGTAAGGTGTATAAAGTATAAAATTGAAATTTTGTTAAAAATAAATTTAACCTTTATATTTTGTTTTTAAATAATTATATACTCAATTTGATAAAAAATTAAAAATTCAATTATGATATTGAATATTTTTAGTATCTTCAATTATTTTGCATTCAAAATAAATAGTATAAAACGAATATTATAGAAAAAATTTGTTTGAGACCTTAGAAATCTAAATATAATGTAACAGGCAAGTAATCAAAAAGAAAATAATGATTTTTATTGATACGAAGAAATACTTATATATACTTTAATTGATTTTTATAATTATATTGCATTACAATATAATTTTATTTATTTTATCTACATAACTGTTTTATACAGTAAATGCTAAGCGATTAGGAAACTCATAAATGTTTTACTTTAATATAAAAGAAATTAATACGAGCATTACTTTTATACTTAATACTCTAATATATCAATTGATAATCATTATCTTTTGATAAATACGTCGATTTGTCGTATATATTTATTAATAAAATTTTTATAAATTATTCGGTAGATTTAATATTAAATTAGAATAAGCATATTACAATATATTTATATATAATACATGCTGCATATTTTGTTTATAGCAGGTCCTTAAGATAAAAAAAGAATAGTCAATTTGAAATTACATTTCAAATTAATATTTCTATAACACATGTTAAAAAATTATTTTAAATTTAAATTTATCCGACTACAATATCTAGATATAATATCTTTTAGAATAATAGCAATACTTTTGTATTCATTATTTTTATTCTTTTTATATTTTTTAAATATTATTTTTTAAATTGTGGTATTGTAAGTACAATCAGAATTAAAACCTCTTTTATTATATTAATTAAAAAATTCTCAAATTTTTGTAATTTAATCTTTGTGGATACATATTTTGATAAGAAAACTGCCATTATTAGAAAATTCAAATAATACAAACATTTTTTATTCGTTTTTATTAATTGACATATGCATATATCAGTGATATTCAAATAGATTATTAAATATAGAATCATTTTTATTCTTAGTCTATAACAACGCACTTCAATTAAAGTATTAGATAACATTAAAAAATTATTAAAAAGCTGTTTTTATTAATTTTACAATGAAATATATTATCATTTATTTCTATCTTTTGTTTAATCACGGTAAGTCACGTGTGTCACGTGTGTGTGTATGTATGTGTGTCGCTCTCTCTCTCTCTCTCTCTTTCTCTCTGTCTCTGTTTTTCGTTTTCTCCCTCTCTGCCATTCTCTTTCTCTGTCTCATATTCTCTTCCTCTACCCCCCTCTCTCTCACTCTCTTTCTTTCTATCTCTCCCTCTCTGTATATATATATATATATATATATATATATATATATATATATAATATACGCGCGCGTATGTCTATAATAATAGGATATTATAGGATATTATATTATTATAATAAGATAAAAATATATTTTCGCAATAGGATGTTTTGTTTAGCCTTATTATACACTAAGCCAATGCTCTTTTATGTGATTAGATGATCTTAAAAAATATAAATATCATAAATTAGTATAATACAAATATTTATTCTTTTGACTTTATACTTTTTTGAATATTTTATAAAAAATATTGTTATGAAATTAATTCTTAATGCTGTTTTATATACTGATATATAATGAATTCTTTTTTTAAAACAATTTCTTTTGAAGTATATTTGTAATGTTATTTAAGTTTAAGTAAGAACAATGAGCAACAAAAACTTTGTTAACTTTGAACAAATATAGCTGTAAATTTAGCTATTAAAAGTGAAATAAGTAAAAAATTAATTGTATGTTTAGTTGTAAGATTTATACAATTAAATATTTGTTTGATGCATAGCTCTTTTTAAGAAAACTAAGGTAGTAACATCAAAGATAATATCTACTTCGTTGGAACTCTGTTAAATAATTTGATATTAAGTATAGATGACAATAATATATATAAATATAATACAAAGAATAAATAATGGTGTTTAGGTATTTTATGTAAAAATTTAAGAATTATTGGTGGTACTGACGCGGATCTAAGAGAATTTCCTTTCTTTGTCTCAATAAGATATATCAAGGAAAATAAAATTATTTGTGGCGGTGCTATCATTAGTGACCGACATATTTTGACAGCAGCTCATTGTTTACATTCATTTCAAGATTCATATAATAAGCTAAGAATAAATACAGTAGAAACTTCAGCACAAAACCGAACTGGAATAAGTTATCAAATTGAAAATATTTTTTTCCATCAAAAGTTTACTTCAATGATGAAAACAATGTCCATGAACGAGAATGACATTTCAGTTATAAAGATCTAACTGAATAAATTAATTTAAAAAATTAAAAAATAAAATAATACAATTTTCACATTTATAACCTGTTCATTAGTAATTTGATTAATAGATAAACATATTAAAGGCAACATAGATAATTACAACATTATATAATTTAATTACATTACATTAATAATTGTAACATTAAATAATTATAACATTATATAAAAATTATAAAACTTATTACTGTTATTACATAACTAAATAATAATGACTTTATTAAAATACATTTTAATTTTTGAATAATGATTATTTATTAATTTTGTTTTATTTATTTATTTATTTATTTATAATTTATTAATATTGAATATTTATTAATTTCTGTTATAAAAAATTAGCTTCTGTTACATATAGTTTGAAAGTGATATTTTAATTTAATTAATGTATTTAAAATTCAAATTAAGTTAGTTATGGTTTATAGTAGAAAGGTGAATAATTTATGTTTTTAATATAATAGCTACCTTATGAAAGTTCAAAAACTAACTAGGTTTTCGAAAATTAAACAAATTAGTGCTTTGTAAAATTTATAATATCCAATTACTTAGTTTTACAGCAATTATTACAATTAACATCGGATTAAATATTTCAAAGTAAATATAACATATTTTAAATAAAAATTATATTTATGAAATCATTAGTTCATTTTATTCAATATAAATAATGTATGAAATTTAATTACAATATAAGACAATTAATACGTCTGTACATAATTTATAATATTTATATTTGAATGGGTGTTTCATTTTTTACAGTTAGTAGAAACAATTGTATTAAATACATTTATAAAAAAGATTGATCTTCCAATCCGAGATGTTCAGAAAGGAATTTCAGGTATAACTTGTGGATGGGGAACAGTTACATATCCAGGTGACACTATTCCTAATCAATTGCAAACCGTAACTATGACAATTGTAAGTGATCTCCAATGTATTATAAAACTTCCATTTTTACTTCATTATGGTCAATTTTGTGCATTCAGAAATATAGGAGTGGGCTCATGTGTTGTAAGTAATTTGAAAATATGTAAAATTAGTATATAGAAAATCTAATAAATAGATTGATTTTTCAAGAATTCCAGTCTATTTTTGAAATCCCATAATTATTTATTATGTATGTATTATTTAAATAAAACAATAATAATAACAATACATAAAGCAGATATAAATATAATAAATAATTTCAAATTATGAATTTAATTGCACAATATTTTTAAATAAATAAATATGACATTATATTATTCAAGATATTATCTACATAAAATTAATGGAATTTCTTGTGAAAATTAAAATTCTAAAAAATTCAACATTAAACTCTAAAATAAAATTATAAATATTACTGTTAATGTTTTATATTCACATTAAATTTTCTTTCAATATTATATATTTCTTTTAATATTCTAGTTATTACATTGTATGAATATAATTTTATTAAAAATAAAGAATTTATTATAAAATAATTGCAATTTATAATAAATAAATTCATGAAACTATTTATTTTATACTTAAATATATGATTAATTCGTTAAAAACGTAAAATTAATTTATAATACTTATTAAAAATTCGTAATTATTAATAATAAAATTATCTTTATTTTTAGGGCGATTGCGGTGGTCCTTTAGTATATAATAGTAAAATTATTGGAATCATATCGTTTTGTTTTCCATGCGCAGCTGGTATACCGGACATATTCGTAAAAGTATATTACTACTTGGATTTCATTAGGAAAGGGATGTCAAGTTAATGCTATCATTAACAAAACCAATTTATAAGAATATTATAATTAGTATAAATGTAGATAATTTAGAAAATTTGTTGAATAATTAATTATATTAAATTTATAATTGGTTCTTAATGTAATGATTATTTATCTTACAATCAATTGAAAGTAATCATATTAAATAATAATATAATACTATTGATTAATATTACATACATATATTTTATATACTGATGATATTGTTTTACAAATTTCGCAATTAAAATTTGTAATTCTATATTTGCATTTAAATTTACTCTCTGAGCATACACATTGTACATTTATTACTGCTATAAATACTTTTACACGTTCAATTTATTTTATTTATTTATTTACCTTTATAATTTATATTTTTTATTCCAGAATAAATATTGAAATATTTTCAAACAATTCAATAATAAAATATTTTATTATATTGATTAGAAAGTTCGTTCAACATTTTATAATTATTTAAAATTTACTTATTATCTTACCATAAGAATATAATTTACATATTTTTTGGTAACGTCTACATACCAATTAATATATAAATATATAAAAAAAAACAATGAAAATAAATATTTAAATTTCTGAAATATAATTTGGTTAGTATAATATTTAAAGTCCAAAATATAATAATCTTAATTTTAAATAATGTACACATTTTTTAATGTAATGAGTACTTATAATATTATTACTATTAGACAGATCTATTTAATGCAATTTTGAATCAAATTATATTTAAAGATAATAATTAAAATTATTAGATTGTCAGAATATGATATAATAATTGAAATGACTAAACAGTAAAATAAAAATGCGAAGAATCCTTAAAACCAAATAAAAATCAAAATTTGGATCCATTCTATTAGAAAAAGTAATAATTATAATTAAATTGTTTGTTTTTAATTTTATTGACTTCATATATATATAATAAAAATATATAATTCTGCATCAAATTTCGAGATTTATAAATTCATTATTAAAAAAATTGATTCAGAAATACAATAGTGGCTTATTATATTTAAATTATGTAGGCAAGGTAATATGTATTTATAATAAAGTATGCTGTATTTAATAACATATTTCTAAAGAGTTAATTCGCATAAAATAATATAAATTGAAAATAAGTTGCAAAAATTCAATGAAATTTGAAATCAATTAAAAAAATCATATTTAATATATAATATTTTTAAAAAATATTATATTATTTATGTACTCAACTAATTATAACTACTTTTAATTTTAACGTAGTATATTTATTCTAGTAAGAAGACAAGCTATTTTAAATATTTCGTAATACTTAGAATATAAAATTAGTAAAATATTTATCTATTAATGTTATCTATCAATTTCTTGAATAGAAAAAAATGTTTTTTCAACGTCTAGAACATATTAGGTATTCTGAAGATGGTTATATTTGGAAAAATACTTTTTAGAATATATTATTCGTCTGAACAAAATTAATTTAAGTTAAAGATATAAAAGTTAATTTAAAATTCAATTTAATAATATATGTCAATGAAATGTGAATTGTGAATTAGCAAAATAACACCACATTTATTAAAGTATATTGTTGTGAAAAAAACAAAATTTGTAATTCACCTTTTATATTAAAAAGTGATATTTTATTTGCTGTATATCGAAACAATTGCTGAAATAAATACGAATAAATATTCAGGTTAACGCATGTATAAAATAATTTTTTTAGTAAAATTGTAATAGAATGAATTAAGGTAATCAGAATAAATTCAACGTGACTATAAATTAAGCACTTTAATAAATAATTTTTTTTAAGATTTTTGTATTAATTTTATATTAATATATAATACAGATATATTTAACTTAAGTCATTATTATATACTCTGGTATTACAAAAATGCTATTAATTCGTATTAATTTATGATAACGATTCAAAGCAAAGTATTCTAGCGATTCGTGTGTAAATATCTATTAAATGCAATATAAAACGCAAAATTTTGAAAAAAAATTAGGTTAAAACAGTTATAATATATAATATTTCTCAGATAAGAAAATATGTAAAATATATTAATATATAAAAGTAAAAAAGCTTATTTTAAAATATTACTTATACAGTTTATCGATCAGTTATATAATTAAGATTGTATTATACTAATATTGTATACATATTAATATTTAATGTTGATAGCGTTTAATAAATTTAATAAAAATTTTCAAAATTAAAATTGTTAAAATATAATCATTGCTAGTAAATAAAATGATCAAATTATTAATATAGTAATTATAACCTATATTTAATTATTTATAAATTAAATATAATTATTTATGATAAATACAGTTATTATAGTTATAATAATGTTAATACAGATATAAATATTACAGTATTCTTAAGCATATTCAACCAATAATAAATTTGTTGTGAATAAATAATTTAACCTTCATATTTCAATTTTTATTCAATTTATAATAAAATCTAATAATAAAGTCCAATATATTATAATAAAATTTATATCTTATTGACAAGAAACAGTGATATTTTTAATTATCACTCGAGTGACTTAACATGATTTGAAATCAGTGCACGTTTTTCTTTCAGAAACGGCAAATATATGTTTAGAAAATAAGATCTATGCGATAAAGAAATAGTTTATGTAAGGAATATTCACAATGGTATATTATTATATTAATCTTTTTATTGAAAAATGTTTGTTATTATAAAATTATAAAAGCACGTTCTTCAACATTATAACTTGTACAATATATTGAACCTTATTATTTTCTAATTAAATAAAATTTAATTATAGTTTACGAAAATGCAATTATATTTTTTATGTAAACGCAATAAATACATTAGTCCAAAAATAACTAGTTATAATTATTAAATATTTACATTATTATATAATCGAGTGAGAAAATAAATATTAATAATCCTAAATTCTTGTAAAATTAAATATTTAAATTCCAATATCACTTATTTTTACGAAACTTGAATAAATATAAGATTGTTATGTTTTTTTTAAAATGTATTTTTCTTATACTTAAATATACATTTTCTTACAAAACATTACATATTTAACCTACGTCATTATAAGTCATATCTTAAAACTATTTTATAAAATTTGTTTTATTTTTATATTTAGCATTATGTGAAATACTTTCTTACCTTTATTATAGAAAAAGAAAATCTATTCAATGTACTCATTACAGTTTAAAAATTTATATTACTATGAAAAATCTAATTTATATATATATATATATATATATATATATATAATAGTATCACTTTATTTAATGGACAGAATATATTTCGGTGAATAACATGAGCTTACAAATTTTTGCCTTGTATCCTGAGCTTAGTGCATTTTCTTTGAATTCTCACATCCACTATAAGTTTACTTTGACTCACATTAATTTCGATGTTGTTTCTGATTATATTTTATGCTCCATAATCTATTTCGTCATTTTTAATTACATTCGTTATATATTCGATTTTGTAAATATGAATAACTAAAATGCATACTTTAATAAATTTTGTATTATTATAAAAAAAACAAAACACCACACATGTATATTATGACTAGATAAGTATATATTATAATGGCTTTATTTAAGTAAATATTTTTAGTTAAATTCTGTCGTTATTGTAACTTGAATACAACAAGGATTTATATGATTGATGAGTTTTATTAGTTATCAATATGTAAATATTAATAAAAAAAACCGCAGGATTTTAAAATTTTCTTATTCATTAATATTCAAATGAAAATGAAAACGATTATGGATAATACTTGCTATTTAATACATTTCATTGTTTCGTTCATACTCATCAATTGCTCATCAACATGAACATTTCAATCTAGTCTACAAGTCATCTGTGGCTATTATTCAGGTATTTGTGTTATTTCCATCTCTGTAAAATTTTCTTTATTCAATCTAAATATTTTTAAATAGATTACCCAAATCAGTTATATTATTATTTTATTATTTCATATTCTTTAAATTTGTTGAGATCAATTTTTTTATAATTCATAATGATATATTAGTGAAACTCATTAATTTGAAGTTTAATTTTTTTATAATAATTTAACGAAAAAATAAAAATAGCAACAATATTATTTTGATATTTTTAATTATAATATAATGCATTATAATACACTTATAATATATTGTATATATATATATATATATATATATATATATATATATATATATATATATATATATATAAGCTATAAATTTGCCAATAACTGTATCGATATAATGAAATAATTTCAATCAATTCTTACTTTGCATGTGAACAATAATCTTATCATTTTTTACTTAGGAATATTTAAGAAGATTATCAAAGCAAATATTTGTTAAAGCAAGCATAATTAGTAAAAATTGTATTTTACCTCAATATGAGTGCACCTATATAAAATTGTTCATTCGATTAAAATTAATCTAAAATATATTTGATCGAATACGGATACTAAAATGTATGTGAGCATTTTAACTTATTTCTGTATAGCTTTAGTTGGTAGGTAAGAGCTTTAATTTGTATTATTATGTATAATACCGTAAAATAAATTTTTTTTATTAATTATTGTTTTTATGTCATTCCTTCTCTCCCACATATTTTCACGATGATTCACTCACTGACTCTTTCTCTCTCTCTCTCTCTTCTCTCTCTTGATACCCCCTCTCTCTCGCTCTTCTCTCTCTTTATCCTCTCTCTTTCTTGATCCCCCCTCTCTCTCTCGCTCTCTCTCTCTCTTTCTCTTATAATATAAAACTGTCTCTTACTTTTTCTTCTATATTATGTCTCTATGTAACCATCGATAGGTGACAAAATATTTAAAACTAAAAAATTAGTTGCATCTACCCTCAAATTAAAAATTTGTATGTATCGATAATAAGTAACAGTAAGTGTTTAAAAGGATTCCAAATTGTTAAAGTTAATATATGATTTATATCTCAAACATTAATATTGTAAAATCTATGTTGTCGCTATTTAAGTTACCGGATATTCAATCAAATTTCATATTTTTTATATTTTTAACAGTTATTGAAATTGGTCAAAATAAATTTGTTGCTTGAGAAATGTAAATCGTTTTCAGATTGATAAAAATCTCTCCTTTAGAATAATAGAATCAACTCAAATATTTTACATAAAATTATTATTAAAACTTGATACTCTACAATGGTATACCATAATATAACATAATCTATCATGGTTATAATATAGTTATAACGTTAGCTAAGAATAATTATAGCAAATTTATGCAAATAATATTTACCATTTGTTCTTCAATACAATATACATAAAATAGCCATTATATTTTCTAGTTTGAAATCTTATTTAATTTCTAATTTTATTCGATCTTTTTATATAAAAAATAAAATACATATTTATCAAATGTCCCGCTTTGTGTATTTTTAATATTAATTTAAATTAATTTTTAATAAGTGGTTTTCTAAATCATTTTCACACTATTTATTATTCGACTATTTTTTTTCAATTCTGTACCGCTTTGTATTTTTTATTTAAACTATTACTTTTTATATTTATATATTAGGAAAACATATTTTTATACATAAACATTTATTACATTGACATATAATATTATATATTTGGTGTTTAGAAAATGTTGTACAAAATGTATAATTTTAATGATATTATAAATAAGTATGATCAAACCCAAATATTATTGTTTTATTAAATATTTTCTTTTATATTTATGCTTTATGGATTATATGTTATTGTACTATTTTATATTATAAAAATATTTTTATAATAAAATTGTATTTAATATAAACCAATATCACGGTTTTAAATTTTCAAGGTGTTTTTAGTAAATCAATAAGAATCATGGGTGGTAATAATGCAGATATAAAAGAATTCCCGTTTTTAGTATCTTTGACATATATCGACGACAATAAGCATACGTGTGGTGGTGCAATTATTAGCAATTATCACATTCTTACGGCAGCTCACTGCCTTTTCAATAAACATACGGACAACGACTATTTAGTAATTTATTCTGGAAGCACTAGTTTGAAAATTCGTTCTGGATATGAATATCGATTAAAACAGATTTTCATTCATCCCGAATTTAATGGCAATAAACTGAAGGAAATGATGAATCGACACGATATTGCTATTATAGAGGTAGGTAAAAATATTTTATATTTTTAAGGTTTATGTTGAAAAGTTGTACTAATTTAGAATTTATATAAAAACGTAAGTATTATTTGATAAATAAATTAAAAATAATGTAGATTTTAATGATTTCCATTAATTATAATACATGTATACTTGTGTTATATTTTAATGAAAAAATCAAACTAATTTTTTACGATACTCTAGAAAGAACATGTCGAATTTTCAACAAATAAGGTTGTTCAAAACACAATTACTAATTATAGGATATAAATGCACATGTTACTCGAGCATTCATATCGAGAGATATATTTGGCAAATTCGGGCTCGATGTATTGTACAAATCGCGAGAGAATCATCTACAATGCCACATAATACTTAGTTAAGTGCAACTTAAGTTCGTTGCTGCGATTATCTAGTTGAAAGAGCTTAGACATTTTGAACATTTCAAGTGTTTCTTCTTACATTAGTTAAGAGTTTTCAGTACTTGCTTCCTCGAACTTTTATCCTAATATTCTAATAGTAAGTTTTATCTTGGACCTCAGCCAGTTCAACTGAATTTTGGTGACTCTAGAAGCTGCTTTCAATGCCTCTATTTGATTTTATATGTCCACTTATTTGATTTTATTTTGTCCAAAATAGAAATTTTTTAATACAAAACATTAAATGTATTATGAATTATTATGCATTTATATAACTAATTAAATTCTCTGACTACTACAGTAAATAATATTTTCTAGAATACAACAACATATTGACATCTAACATATATATATATATATATATATATATATATATATATATATATATAACTTATTTATTATAAATTTAAGATCTATCAATTACAAGACGTAAGCAATATATATTTTAGGTATTTCCATATTATTCATATTAAAACGTGATACTTTTTATCGAAATGAATATATAAAATTGTTAACATTCTTATAATTTTTTTCTTTGTACTGTTCAACATAATTTTTAATTGAAATAAGTCTTAATGAATATCCTAGAGGAATTCCAAGTATTTATATGTAAAATTTCCTTGAATTATTTAGCGTATTACTGTGTAATTGAATCTTTTCATTAATTTCATTAATTACTTTATTCTAATACTAAATTATTGTTAGAAGTTATTATTATTATATCTAAAACTAAGTTTTCCTAATGTCTATGAAATTCTGGTTTTTATACATTCATTTAATGAGCTACTCATGGAAATTGGAATTGATGGGCTCTTTAAATATTTCTTCACATTTAAGAATTTGTAGAAAAATCGAATAAATATTCTAAAATCATATAATATAAGTCTACAGTGACTAAATAAATAATTTTGAAAATAACATTTTCGTATCTTAAAATTACTATTGTATTATTATGTATAATGTAATTTATAAATTTACTAACTACAAATGAATGTTGGCATATATATAGAATTTATTTCAATATGTCTTATTAGTTAAAATTTTTTGCAAAATTAAACCGAATTAAAATATTAAATATTCCTATTATTAATATTTTCAATTAAATCGATATTAATAATATAGGTGGAAGGTTTTATTGAATTTAACGAGTACCAACAGAAAGCACGACTTCCAACAGAAAATGTTTATGCAAGTACAATCGCCACAATTGCTGGTTGGGGACTTTTAGACTTTCCGTCAATATATTATCCAGAAAAACTCCAAAAAACTTCATTGAAAATTCTTGACAATTCTATATGTAGAAAAAAACTGCCCTTTAATATTCACGAAGATCAATTGTGCGCATTTGAGAAAATAGGGGTTGGCGTATGTGTTGTAAGTTTTTGTAATTTTACAGTTTTAAATAAATTGGAAACTATAATCACAAATTACGTAACTGTAAATAAAAAAATTAAGTTGGCACAAGATAATTTGAAAAGAGACATAATTTTTTTAAATCATCCATTTATAATTTCCAAATAGTTTTGATTTATTTTCAATAATAGTGTGTAAAACCTAATAAACAATATAACTGAAATGATATAATTTTAAATAAATAAATAATTTAAACTAATTTAAAACTATATTAAACAACAATAATTATGTTATAAAAAAATAATTATATTCTAATAATTTTATAGGGGGACAGTGGTGGTCCACTTATTCTTAACGGTGAAGTAATCGGGGTTATTTCAATTGGTCTCCCATGTGGTCAAGGTATACCAGATGTATTTACGAAAGTATATTCATACCTCGATTTTATTAGATCCATTATTGGAAATTAGCATATTATAAATGTATAGGTATAATAGTATACAAGAATTTAAGTTATTTTAATAAAATATATTTTTAATAAATACCAGGCTTATTTTAAAAGCTAGAAACTTAAATTGCAATAATAAGTATAATCAAATAACTTAAATGTTATCAATTAAAGTTATTATATTATTTATTTGGAAACAAGAAAACCAAGAGAATATTCAGATTATTTAACTGAATTTTTTAATATATTTTTATATGTAAACATTCTTTGAGTAAAAAATAACGTTGTAGTTCTTTATAAACTCACATACTTATCAATGTTACATTTATTTTTTATTTTTTAGAATTTCTATGTATTATTTAATTTTGCAGTTTTATATGAAAAAAAAACCCTAATCTTATTTATATAAAAGCATCATTATTTTTGGAAACGAATAAAATTAAAACTTTACTTTAAATATGGCATAATTATACAAAAATTATTTTATGTGAATTGTATGAATTTATATTAATTATATTTGTCAATTAATTTATACGATCAAATTATTCTTGAGCAGGCGTCCACTGCATCATTGAATGCTAATTCATCATCCGAAAATAAACACTTATTTTTTACAATTGTTTTGTTTAAGTATTGGATTTTGTATACAATTTGTAACAGATAATTAGTTTCATTAATCTCAAATTAAGCTCAATATATAAAAATTGTACTCAATAACAATTCTATACTGGGTAATAATTATAGTACTCTTTGATTTTTACTAATTAACTGTCATTATGAGTATTTTACTTATTTACTTTACCTGATTATATACTTTACTTATTTTATATTATATAAAAATATCCTTACTCTATTTATTGTGTATTAGAAAAACAAAATTAAAATTAGCAGGAATAAATTTCTATTAGAACTCTAACGCAAAGCTGATTGAACAAAAATATATTATTGTTAAACACCAATTTTTATTCTTTGAAATACACTATATAAGTGTTTTCATTGTATCCTGATTGCATAGTCCAATGTTAACGAAAGTAATATATATATGAAAAAATTTGCAAAGAAATTATGCAATATATAATAATTGATATACATATGGTATATTTACAAGCATTTCGTTATATATATTTTTCAAAAATATTTTTCTGATTAATAACATTACAAATCATTCATTCATACTTCGTAATTACGCTACTTTATCATCTATTATTTATAATAATCATTTAAACATAAATATTACATTTAAACATACATAAATCATTTATTATTATATTATGTGAGGATCTTCAATTACAAATTTAATAAAAAAGTAAAAAAGATAGTATTATTGATTATACGTTATTAGTATTACTGTGATAGTATTATATATCGATAGGAGTTACTACTTAAATGAAAAGTTTTAAAAAATATTAAAAGACTGATTTTTATATATATTAGAATGAAATGGTGTGTTTAATTGTCATATTATTTAGTTATATTTAAGATATATTAATTATATTATAATAATATGTTAATAATATGTAACTTCTAAGATTGTAAGATATTCAAATTGAATGTCCGTGGTCTTTTATGGTGTTTTATTTAATTAAACGTAAAAATAAAAATAGTAATTTATGAATTTTAATTCAAAATCTTTACTATTATAGAATATTCAATTATAAAGAGAATTAACTTTTATATAATTTGATTAGACATTTGAATTTAAAATCGATTTTTTAAAATTACTACGTGACTAACAACTTTTTAGAATTACAATATAATAAGTTTGTTCTTATATTCAATATTATTTTTCAATAAAATGGATGTTCTACATATATTCTATTATGTAGAAATACTATTACTATTTATTAGAATTATATTATATAATTTAAGAAGTTATTTCAAGTAGATAAATTAAATCGGTAATATTATTTAGCAAATATATAATAGTAATACAATTGCTTATGTAATTTTTTATAGATTGACATATTATAAATTGATAGAAATTCAATTTATAGAATACACTACAGACTAGTAATAAATAGCAATCTTAAGGGATCTTAAGGGACAGTATAGATAATACGAATGTCAATTTAATTATCCTTTATTTGGGGTGGCACAATTTATTAAACCCTAAAAAATTTAATTAGTATTTATTATTGTTTTGTTTGTTGATAATAATATAAAAAATAAATGGACTTCAATCGATGATACTACAATTGATAGAAATTATATAATTAGGTATATTTAAACGAAAAATATGTGCTGGATTATATTGAATATTATTTATTATTATTTTTATTTTATTTCTATTAATACTCATAATATTAAAACATCGTGCAAATGAATATTTTTCAATGATATATGCTTTGATTGTTGTATTTATTTTAATTGTATTATGTTGCAAAAAATATAAATAAGATAGCCACGTAATTCATAATCATCATCTATACTTTCAAACATTGGCACGTTACAATTATTGCTTTGTATTGCACTGCGACTAGAACTTGACACATTCAATAATTTATAGACGCTGCTAAATAGATATTTATATATTCAATCGTGTAAGCTAATTATTAGACCTGAATTTGACTTCAATTAAAAATTATAGGGCTATGGCATAATTAAATTAAAGCAAGCGACCAAAAATATGCAAAAAATGACATTAAATTAAGTTCAAATCATATATCTTCAGCGAGTATAAGCAACTAATATTTTATACTTAACTTGTTAACATAATTCTGCTTTCATGTAAGAAATAGTATTTTCATGAATTCTAAGATGCATGCTTGAGCAAATCCCAGATCAAATAGTATATGCATATAGTTATGTATTATTGCTTAATGCATCTAAAGTTAGAAAAATTTTATCTGGACATTGAAAAACAATTAAGATTTTAAGAATTAAAATTGCGGCAGGAGCCAGTTTCATGTCTTATTACGTTTGCGCTAAAGACCATCACGGCACTTAGAACTCTCATTTTCTGATACTCCTTAATAATAGAAGAGATTCAATGTAAATGTCCACATGACAAAGAGTACTAGAAATAATAAATAAGAGTGTTACATGAGATTCAATACAATCATAGATAATATTATTGATAGTTTCTGCTTTCAAATTTTTCATAAAATCAATACCTGTTGTAAAAGTTATTAATAATACAGGGTAAATTAATATTAATAAACAGTAAATTAGGCTCGAATAACTCTCAGATCATTATTAATATCGTAAAAGTAAATAATTTACAAACTAGCAAATTAATGTTATATATATTCCATAAGAAATGTTATTAATATATATGTAATTGACATAGGTATTCGCATGGTAATTATAATTATAAAAGAATATACAATTTAATAAGCAAAATTTATTGATTAATTATCATATATTTCAATTTTTTATCCAACATTCGCATTCAAAATTATTGGTAATGAATATTAATATTTTCTGATAATTTTCTGACAGTAATTTTCACAAATTAATAATATATTGGAAACATTCAGATACTAATATTATATTTTATTATATTTTTACTTTTTATTGCATCATATTTTTAAGTAAATATTTAAATTCAAGCATATTTTGATAGTTTGAAAAGAACGAAAAAGTAACAATCATAAAAATAAATAGTAAAAGGAACAAAAACTGTATAACTAACTGTAAATAACTAATAATTTTCAGTTGTATGTATATTTATCGAGCTATTGTACGAATATATACATGTCACAAAATGATATATTGATAATGAATATGTTAATATTTTAATAAAGCTGTAAAAAGAGGATGTCGGAATAATTTTATCGATTATAAATATAAATTTTTAATTCCTTGGTCAAATACTAAGTAGTCACATAAATAAATTGATAAAATCATAGCTTCATATATAATTTATAATGAAAACGCAAATATAATAATTTTAGATTTTTAATTATATAATTATTGATATAATTAGAATTGTTATGCAGGATATAATTCACAGAAATCTGAAAAAATAGAAGATAATGAATTTTAATAATCATGCTCATTTATAAATACAAGTATAATTTAAACTTGTATTTGTGCAGTATGAATGTATTGTATTAATGTTCTTTAACACTTGATCGACACAGTTGCAGAGGAATATTATTAATAATAATGTTTCCTTCATAATCAAAGTCTTAGTACCTATCACTTAGTGAATTATAATAAATAAACAAAACATTTTTTTTTAACGTAAATAATAACGATTAAACAAATAGCTTCGAATATATATATATCGATAAATTTATATTTATTTATAACTTACTAAGTTATTATTATAATTTCGATTATTATTATGTATTTAGACTTTTATTACTGGCGATTAGAAACAAATATTTATATTTGTAGTAACGTGCATTAAAAATTATATTAAATTGATAGTTTATTACATTATAAGTTGTTATTACATATAAATTAAATTACATATACACAACCTGATTTTAATTAACTAGATTTATTTTTACAAAAACAGGGCGTGATAATTATTTTGAAATAATTTCAAATAATGTAGTAATATATGGCGTGTACGTATAAAAATTAATCAACTAAATCTCTATTTCTTAATTAGTATCTTAATGAAATGAAACAATAAAATTCTTTTAATACTGAAATTTTAATAAATTATATGTAAATTTTAATCATTTTTTTTATTTGTTCTCATTGTGGATAACATAACTTCTTTTTATGTTGCGAATTAATTTCAACATTAAGAAAAAAAAACAAATTCTTAAACATATTTGTATTTAAATCAAATGATTAAAAGTACAATTTAATGAAGATCAGTACAAATCTACGTAGGCTCGTATGTAATTTTAATTAAATTATCAATTTTTACTTATGATTGACTACACTTTCGAATTCGCATCAAAGATATATTTGGCATATACACCGTGAGATGTTTTCTGTTAATAATTGATGATGGCCATCAGATTATCTGAGAAACATTTTAACTCTCCCTCTCAAAGGGTATAGTAGATAAAATACCGATTAGTGAAAGGATGAAATGCAGATTAGAGCTTGTAAATCTTTGACACAGTAAAAATAAAAAATATCAATATATAATTCATGAATTTATTAGAAAGAAAA